CCAATCCTGGCTACTTACCATCTAGCCTTCCATAGACATCGAGTAAAGGAGCATTCTCAGAACAAGTAGCAGCGGGGAGTATGTTTGTTTGATCTAAACCTCCATCTAATTTAGCAGATTTCCGAGCCCACTGTACTTTAGCTTATTAGCTTTCATCCATTCCAATACTGGACCCCAAACATCAGTCCAAGTGTATATACATTACACATATCCATAATAACATGCACAGAGAAATTCTGTAATTCTGCAAGATAAATAGTGTAATAAACCAGATGTCATTCTGAACGTACCTTTTGGGAGTACCGGTAGGCAACATAAAACAGTTCCCATACTCTGGGCTCCTTGAATACCTGAGAAGAATGTGCATGTATGAAGGTCATTAACTGCTTGCTGAGTTTATAAGTAGTTGTATAGAAAAATCTTGGCATTTTCTTTTCACAGAAATCACTTCTCCCAGTTTCATTTTACTTCGTCTGTTCCCCTGTAATTTTGGGGTTTTCTAAATTAGGTTGCTTTACTGTACTCATTTCAAGTACAGTTTGTTCTTTCATTGGGCTGTCATGGATGGCAAGTTATGAACACTGCTTTTTAGTCACACATAAATCTGTAATTTAAACTTTGTTGCATTATACTCGTCAGAGTACAAACACCATTTCTTACAGAAGAATACAGACTTGGAAGGCTTGCTAAAGAGCCCTGACATTCCCTGAGCCAGTAACAGCAAATCATGGGTTAATCAACCCACAATTTGCCATGGTGTGTCAGCCAGGTGTTTAAATATTCTACTTTGATTGCTATGTGATGTCCAAATCTGAACAGTATAGGCTAATCATGAGCCAGGCAACACTTGCCTTTTAATTGAAATGATTAATCTCTGGTAAATTAATTGTGGGTTAATCAACCCATGATTTGCCACCACTACATGTGGAATGGGTGAAAGGGTCAACTAGAACTAGAACATTAAAACAAAATACATTGTTTTAATGTATTTTGTATTCGATGTTGTAAGCCGCCCCGAGGCCTTAGCAAGGGGCGGCATAGAAATGTTTTAATAAATAAATAAATAAATAATAAACTATTAAAAGAAATTCAGCTTATGCATGCTCCAGCAGTCAGGTACTTTTAAGACCACTAATTTTAATGACAAAAAAATTCCAGACATACTTTGTTCACTTACTGAAACCAGTGGAACTTAAATGTGCTTACCTTGGGTTCAATAATTACTGTTCCACTCCTATACATAAAACAAAATGTGTCCTTAAATGAGGAGCACCATGGCTGCAGGCAGGTATGGAAAAAGGTTGTATGGCTACAGGCTCAGAGAATTAGGAGAGAGAGAGAGATGAAGATTGTGGCTTTTCTATACAAGATTCATTGTGTGCTCATTGCACAAGAAACCAAGGACTCAGGCTAGAGCCATAGACAGCCTCCCTCCCTCTTACTGTATTTCCGTTTGGGGCTTCAAAGAAGTGAATGGAGAATCAATTATTTTCTCATAAGCAGCAGATGCTCCTATAGACCTGTTGCTAACTCCAAGAGTAGACCTGTAGAATATGTAATATATTTTAGTGAACTGTTAGTGTCAGAAATATATAAGTGGAATAAAGTGAATTATGTACTTTTAAGTTCATAAGCCTTTACAACCTTTTAATGACCACTATCCTTTCCAGTTGATATGGCTGGCACTCCTGTTGGAGCTCAGGTCGCTCTGCAAAATGCAGAAATGACCCGAGCGGTTGACATGATTGCACCTAAATGCCCTCTGCCTTCTGGCAGAGCTTGTGCAGTGCTATGATATACTTCTGGGCTGCAAGCGATGAAGCAGACTGCGAAAAGCCTTGAGTGTGGGTGGAGGAAAATTCATGCAGAAACTGATCGAACACAAGTAACACCTCATTATCGAGCCTACTTTGTGAAAGCATCACATCCTCATAGTGTTATCTGGAAGAGCTAGTTCATGGCCTGTTGCAATCTGGGTCCAAATTAATTCTGTCAAGCCCTCAATTGCCCGCTGCAACAAATATGCACAACATTTTGAGGGTAAAATCGCTCAGATCCATCATGAATTGAACTCCAAGGTTAATGTTAGTCGTGTAAGGGAGGTATCTAGTGTATGATCTTATCTGATCTTGTTGGGTAGGTTTCAATTGTTGAAGCCTGAAGATGTGCTTGGAGAAGTTCATCCCACCACCTGCATACTCAATCTTTGCTTTTCCTGGTCATCACTGTCTCTCTGAGGGAGGGTCTGGTTCCCTCTCCTTTGAATCAGGCCCCACTTGAAAAGGGCAAGTCTGGACCCAGAGGATGTCTCCTAGTATAGACCAGTGGCTAACATCCCTTTTTGGGGCAAGGTGCTTGAGCAGGTGGTGGCTGGACAACTCCAGGCATTCTTGGAGGAAACTGACCATCTCCATCCTTTTCAGTCCGTTTTCAGACCTGGTTTTGGAACAGAAACTGCCTTGGTCACCCTGTATGATGACCTTTGCCAAGAGAGCAACAAAGTTAGTTACTTCTCTTGGACTTCTCAGCAGCTTTCGATACCATCAACCTTCTGTATTATTATCCTTCTGTATAGATAATTATACATTATCCTTCTGTATAGGTTGGCCGAGTTGAGAGTAGGAGGCCCTGCTTTGCAGTGGTTCTGTTCCTACTTGGCTGGCTGGTTCCAGAAGGTGGTGCTGTGGGATTGTGGCTCTGCACCATGGCAATTATGCCATGGAATTCAACAGGGTTGCATTTTATCCCCCATGTTGTTTAACATCTACACGAAACTGCTGGAAGAGGTCAGCTGGAGGTTAAGGCTGAGGTGTCACCAGTATTCTGATGACACCATCTGTTCAGGTGAGTGATATTTGCTCTGTTCTGGATGGAGTTGCACTCCTCCTAAGGGACAGAGTACATAGCTTGGGAGTACTCCTTAACCCAGAGCTATCCCTGAAATTCCAGATGGCTTCTGTGGCAGAAAGTTCTTTCCACCAGCTGAGGCTGGTCCATCAGCTGCATCCTCACCTGGATGGACAGAGCCTGGCAACAGTAACCCATGCACTGGTAACCTCCCATTTGGACTATTATAATGTGCTTTACCTGAGGCTGGATACTTTAGTTGGTACAAAATGGTGCAGCCAGTTTACTGATTGGGACCAGCAGAGATGAACATATAACACCGGTCCTATACCAGTTTCACTGGCTACTGATTGAAGTTCAGGCCTGACTTAAGGTGTTGACAATGACATATAAAACCCTAAACAGTTTAGGTCCTGGATATATAAAAGGATATCTCCTTCCATATACTCCTGCCTTATCTTCATCTTATGTTCATCTGTGGAGGTTCTTCTCTAAGAGCCACCCCTTGAGGGAGGTGAGGAGGGCTGTTACTAGGAGAAGGGCCTTTTCAGTGATAGCCCCCAAATTGTGGAACATGCTCCTCAGAGAGGTTTGCCTGGCATCAACCCTTTATTCATTCCAGCACCAGGCCAAACCTTTTTGTTTGCCCAGTTTTTTAATTGTTAGTCGTAATATATATATGTGTGTGTGCATAATCTATTGTACTTTAACTTCCTTGTAAACTGTCTTGAATTTTTAAATATAAAACAGTATAGAATTTTTTAAAATAAATAAACAAACAGACAAACAATCCTTAACTAGGCTACTCCTTACTCTCTTTGAGCACCCTGACATCTTTAAAGTTAATACAGTTAGGGTTCCAAGAATTTTTTATTTAAAGGATTGTCAAAAGAGGTATTTGTGCTCTTGAAAAATTCACCCTAAGCAAAGACGGATTTTGTGTTGGATAAGCCAGGTGGGTCAGATAGCTGTACTTTGGAGTGATACCAATTGTAAAGGAGGGTGTCAGCTACCAGTATTTCAGCTTTTGAAACCAGACACGTTCCCATCCTAACAAGAGATTCTCATTTTTTCATGGAAGTTGCCACATAATTGCAAATTAAAGAGGCTGTTTTTAAACACTTAGGTGGGGCTGAATAATGCTCTATGAAGAGCAATTATTTCATTGGCTCCACCCTAGCTTACGTTCCTGGTCTCAAGGGTTGAACCTCATGCAATTTACTATTGCTGTGAAAGATGTGGAGAAGGGCTAGATTTCAAAACAACCAGAAAAACTTTGCTTGTCAGCAGTTACATATTATATTCATTGGAATAATATTCCTGTGCATAGTCACTTTCATTATGAATTATTCATGTTTAGAACTACCTCCAAACATTTGACTGTGGTTTATGAAGCTGGCTTATTTCAATAAACCATTGTTAAAAGTAAGATTGCTTTTCTGCACCTTGGCCGAATGCTTCTTACTTGTATTGTCTTTGCTTTCCCAGTTAATGCATTAAAAATTAATTTGGTTTTCTGTATTTGCATGAGCCTGGAGCTATATAATTGAGATAACAGTGAGGAAAGGAGGTGGGAAAGGTGATTGGAGCATGAGAAAGTATAAAGGATGCAACTGGTTCCCCTTTTGTGACCTTTGGCATGCACAAGAACACAACTGTGCCTATCACTGTGTACATTAATTATGTCAGATAAGGGCAGTTTCCTGAGGTTTCAATTTGTAAAATATATGCTAAGCCAAAAAGCATTATAACAAATGAAATAGTTGGCTCCTATATAAATTAGATACACACACAATTTTCTATACTATTGTGTTTTTATTACTGGTGTGTTGACTGGAAACAGTGGATAATAGCAAGAAACTGTTCCTTTAGCAATCTAGTATTTGCTAGACTAAAGGGTCCAGATCACTTTGAGGCCCAGATATTTTTGGTACCTAACAGATCCCTGCTTTATTAGAGTCAACTATCATTCATAATATAGTATGTGAAGTTTTTTATCACATATATTTTTGCTTCGGTGGAATTTTTTTAAAAAATGGTATTTTGATAATACATTTCAGAGAATGTATTCATTTAGCTTTGGACAAATGTTGTGTTGCCTGTTTTTTGATGCATCTTCTCTTTTCTACCTATCACTATTCCTGCTACAGGACATGGCTCCGTGGCCTGAACTAGAAGACGCAGACACAAACAAGTATATCAAAGAGCCTTCCTCCAATCAAAACCAAGAAATGTCTGAAAAAGAGATGAAAAATCCAAAAGGTAAAAAAAAAATATCTCCCTATAGAATGTAAAATTCCTGCTCTTATATCCCAAAATAAACAGTTTTAGAAGGTTGAAAGTTTTGTACTTGAGTGTTAATGATGAAGCAATAATAGTAACCTGCCGGCTTTGTTTCATCAGGTGAGGCAGTTTCTTTAAAGAATCAGCTGGAACTTTTGCCAGCGTATTCCACCATTGCTTTGACAACTGAACCAGAGGAAGAGGAAGATCCATGGAATATTCCAGTGCTCCAGAACACTGGAGTCAAATGGTCAGGTGAGACTGATCATTGTGGATTCTTCTTCATTTTATTATTACTTGCCTGTCTTCTCTCACCTTCACATTATATCTACTTCTCAAATGTCAACTTTCTTGAGAAAATTCGGCGAAGCAGCTTAAGACCTGGCTACCTAAAGGACTGCCTGCTTTCATAGATTCCTTCCTGCCCACTGGGCAGGAGATCCTTCTGAAAGAGCCATCCCTGAAGGAGGTAAAGGGGATAATAAATAGAAGAAGGGCCTTCTTGGTGGCTGCCCCTCAATTATGGAACAGGCTTCCCAAAGAAATTTGCCTGGCACCAACCTTGTTTTTGTTTCAGCTCCAGGTGAAGATGTTTCTTTTCTCTGAATACTTTCAAGAACCCATTTGAAATTTGTTACTTATTCTGACACCTGTTTTTCTGCTTGCTTCATGTAATTAAGATTTTTTATTTTTATTGTAATTTTCTATATAACTGGTTCTATTGTTGTGTTTTTAGTATTTTACTGTAAGCCACCTATAGAATCCATTTGGATTAGTGGGTGGCATACGCATTTTAAAATATATAAAATAAATTTTAACAATTGAGCTGGATTTTTAAAACCTTTTGCTCAGAATCATTGTCCCTTCATTTTCCCATTAGCAGTGTGCTCTCTGTTTAGTTTGAATTAAAGCAGACACCAGGTGGCAAAATGGCAAATCAGTGCAAAGGGTATTGAAGCCACTAATAAATGACAACCCATTAAGCTAGTCATGTTTCCTGTGTTAGGATTAGGAAGCTGGGGAGTTCTTTTGAATTTTGCTCCCAGGTCTAAAATTTGTGGTAGCTATGGTGTTACCCCCACCCTGATAGCCAGATAACTGCTCTGCACTTTCCTTGTTGCATAAGTTTTGAAAAGAGACATGCGTTTCCTAAATTGGTCATAGGCGTGATCCAGGAGTGTCCACAGCTTACTGCTTGCAGGCCTGCTAATTGAGATTTTCATTTCTATTCAAGTAATACAACTTGCAATACCTGCTTTGTGGTTTGATTGCAAGAATATGAGGCTGCTACAGATGAAAGCTCCTGTTTCCTGCCTCTTCAGCGTTATATAATTGCTTGCTTATTGCATAGTGGGCTAGAAACAAAACTTCTGCAAAATATAGAGAACTTCCATGTTTGGGCTTGACTAGTGACATACTTGCCAAAAAGATAGATCGCAACTCATCTGGAGGGGCAGCCCTTTCATTAGGCAGAGTGAGGTGAATGTCTCAGGCAGCAGATGCAGGGGGTGGAGACAATGGGGCAGTCTCCAGGATATTCCAGTTGTCACCCTCTGTTTTAGTACAAAGCTTTGTGCACAATAAAACTTGTTGTGAGCTCAGTAACCTGCTGCTCAAGATGTAGTGGAGAATGCTGTCCCATTACCAGACCGAGGTATGGTTAAACAACCTGCTCATCCAGTTTTGATCATTAATTAGACAGGGGCATTAATTTTTGTCCTTAATGTGAGGCAGCAAGATGCCACCCCTGCTGATTTTGTGCTTACACAGACAAATGCTAATGGAAGACTGCTACATCTAGGCTGCCATATAAATTATACAACAACTCTAAGCTACTACCTTGGCTGGGTTTACTTGCTTCTGGGAATGAGAATTTGGGTTCTCCAGTCCATCCCAAAGCAACCTTTCAGTCTAAACAGTTGCCCCATGTGACCATTAAATTGTGTCAGCTGTTTGGATAGAACATTTAAGCAGCTACTTCTACTGAATTCTGCTTTATAAGAATATTAGGGAAGAAAAGGTTAACAATTACTTAGTGGGGCAATCCTTTCAGCCTCATGGCAGATGCTCGTAAGACAATTTCTAATGCCACTCTATCTTACATCCTGCATTGTATCTACATAGTTGCATATCTTGGCTGCAGGAGTCACTTGGCATTATGTGTGAACCCACCCATTCTTGTGTTGAAATGCCAGGTATTAGGGGATGGTTTCATCCTGAAAGGCAATTAATAACCCTTTACAAAGTCTTGCTCTTTATGGAGATGAAAACTGAAAGAATGGGTTTGCTGACTGTGAAATAATAATATTTTCCTTGAATCTGGAGGAAAAAACTCCTGGAAGATCTGAGTTGGTGGTCTTAGGATATTTGGGGACATGTTGTGTCCCTCTCTTTCCTCATTCATGTAATCAAAGCAGTCTTCAGCCAAAGTCCAACATGCTAACCACTGTACTGCTCTTTGCCATCTCACTATTCTATAACTGTCAGCGGATTCTAATGAATCGGGTGTGATGCAATATAGTGCCATTCTTTGGAGTGACTGTGTGTGCACACTCATGCATGTACTTATGCATGTACGATATGAAAATAAGGATCAGTGCATCTACCTGAATTTTTTTTGATGGTCATTGGGAGTGCAACTATGGGGATTGCCATGATGAACACTAGCACTTCAAAATGAACTACACTGCTATTTTTAGCTAGTTACACTTTAATATTGGAAACATTCCATCTGGTTTATTATCCACAGAGCTTACACTTTGGCTTTGACTCCATCGACTGACTGGAAATGGATGCACTGCTGAAAATTAAAGCTTAGATTCTGTGCTATTTATACATTAAAGCTTGTTTTATGTTTTGCAGAACTGGATGGGAAGGGAAAAATACTATGTGTGATAAAAAGCATAGGAAAGTTCATTGCCTTGCTTGGATTACTCTACTTTTTTGTTTGTTCCTTGGATGTGCTCAGCTCGGCCTTCCAATTAGTAGGAGGTAAGACAAGATTTTCAAAATAGCACACCTATTGGTAATGTACGAAGGTCCAATTTTGTAAACATGATCTTGTTAAATCTCTCATCTCATGAGAAACACACTTCAGACAAATATGTAAAGGAGAACCTCTGTAGTTAAAAAACATACAAAAAATTGTGCTGGATCAGATCAAAAACCTATCTAGTCTGGTATTCTGTTTCCAAAGTGGCTGATGAGGGGCCCTTGGGAATCCAACAGAAGAAGCCACGATCACAGTAGCATCCTCCTGCTTGTGTTCCCCAGCAGCTGGTATTGAGAGGCTTGCTGGCCCTGACATGTCATCATGAGTAGTAGTCACCGTGAGCCTTATCTCCCATGAATGTTGACATCCCCTTATTTGCAAAGGGTGTCTTTTGTTTCCAGAATTCCAAGGTGGTATTGATGCTGGCAACATTAACAGCATCTTACTGGTGCTGGTATTGATTGATCTTGGTATTAATTGACTGGTGGTGGTATTGATGCTTAGTAACAGTAATCCAGGCCTCCTCTTTCTCTCTGCTACTCCTCCCAAAGCTACTTGTGTAGAATCAACAAATGGCTGTAGAAGGTTATAATGACACAAAGTTTTCATGCATTAATGGGTTTTGAAACCTAACTTGCTCCCATGCTTCAAAGATGGCAAGCTATTATTTTTTAACTTGGAATGACGGAATATTAAGAAGAGGTAAAGAGCTGCAAAATAGTTGACTTTATTACCTCATGTTCAAGCGCTCTCACTTGTTCTCATGCTCACTCGCTCTCAGTGTCTAGTGTAATTTGCAAGTTTAGGTTCAAAAATCAGGGAAAGGCACTTCCACAAAGCACCAACTAAGTGAGATTTAGTCACATGGCCATTTAAGAAGTTCCAAACTTCTTGTATCCTTGCCTTTTTACCAAGGAGTTTAGGGTCAAGGGTTATCCGTTTTATCCTCCCACGCGGGTGGGTTAGGCTGAGAGAAAATGAGTTGTTGAAGGTGACCAAGGGAACTTTAATCTGTCCAATCCCCACTTAACATTCTAATCTATTTACATCATGTTGACTCTAGCTAGGTGTCAGATGCCCAGCTGCTCACCTAATGAGGACCAATTCACCAGACTCTTGGGTGTGTGGTAGTGACTAAGATCCTGTTTTTACCAGCTTCCTGCTCTTGGCACCCCTTCCCAGAGTGCCCAAAGAAAAGTGTGTGGGGGTGGGGGGGCAGAGTGATCACTGTTTAACTGTAAAGCTGTGCCTTGAAAAGAAATTCGGAATTATGTCTTTACCTAGTAAAAGGCCACTGAGTTTATGGGGAGCAATGATTCACTCTTCCCTACAACCATGAAGCTGCTTTCAGAAGAGGTAAAGCAAGGCCTCCCTTGTGTGCGTTGTAGTAGTAGCTGGGCCACTCACTGCTGGGCTGACTGGCTTTGCCCTCATTTCAGCTTTCTTCCCACAGCAGTTCTTTAGTTTGTCCCATAGGATCGAACTGCATTCATAAACAGGAGCATGAAAAGGGGACTCAGTGGCTTAGATGAGACCAAACTGGCTTTCTGACCTAGGCAAATCAAGAATCAAGGCTGTTACTACTTGCGTAGCCTAGCCCTGTACTGGATTCTGTTAAACAAGTCATGATAAAACAAGAGTGAGCAAGAAGCAGCCCATGTGCTGCAAATGATCCTTAATGGCTATTTGTGCCGTCTCCCCTGGGCCCCAGTCAAAGTTGCCACCAAAGTTGTGGCTGGTGAAAACTCTACCATAAACAAACAAACAAACAAATCTACCTTTACCTCTCCCACAACATCACTTCTCCCCTTCCACCTCCCCCCAGCATAATCACGGTGGTTTTCCAGATACCATGTTTTCCACCTCCTTCTCCCCATTCTTCCACCCCCAGCCACATGGCCACTGCCTCTCCCCACAAAGCCCACCTCTCCGTTTCCAAATCTCTGTTCCTGTAGGAGAGGTTCTGGTCTGTGCCTTACAGGACTCTGTGGTGCAGGAAGATGTTCTTTCATGCTCCTGCATCATAGAGATTCCTGTATTCAGGCGCCAGAGAGCTGCCTCCTGCTGATGCTCCTGTGCCTCTCGTTCAGAAAAGTGAGAACACTGGGGCTATTAGGGAGGATTTACCCAATATGCTGTGTGAGGGCTTGTCTGTGCGTGTGTGTTTATGGTCCCTGGCAACTCATCAGGACTGTACAAGATGCCCCCCACCCCTGTCCTAAACATAACAGAATAAGGCAGCGATTGAGAAAGAATGTTAGGAACTGGCTTTTCAATATAGAGATAATTATTTGCTGTAGAAATAATTTTATTGACACAATTGCTCTTTTTATAGGTAAAGCAGCGGGGGACATTTTCAAAGATGGTTCTGTGCTATCAAATCCTGTTGCAGGCCTAGTGATTGGTGTTCTGGTAACAGTAATGGTGCAGAGTTCTAGCACCTCGTCCTCTATCATCGTCAGCATGGTGTCCTCTTCATGTAAGTTATTTGAAGGAATTTCAGATTTCTTCAGGTCAGCTTGAAAGTTTTCCATGCACGAACATGTGGAATAAAAAAGGAACATTTACACTATGTCAGAAATAGTCTGTGATAAACTATGGACACATTATTCTGGAAACAAGATGGGAAATTTGGCATCATGTGAACTTTTGTTCTTCTGTATATCCCTTACAGATGACCTCAGGGTCTAGATCCCGCAAACCTAAGTGTGAATAGACTCAAAGAAGTGATGCTCTGGCAAGAGCCATGCTTAATTTGAAGTTACACTGCTAATGAGTTGTTTCCAATGTTAATCCTTCTTAGAGTAGATCCATTGAAATGAATGGTGCTTAGGCTAACACTGAATAAAACCAGGGGAGGCTGGTGACTCCTGTATCAATATGGCTTCTTATCCATGGAAGATTTTATTTCAAGTGAGTCACCTGCCTCCCTTGGACACAACCCTGTTATTTCAATTACTTAATCAAGAAAAAAGTGACAAAGACAAGTGTCAGTCTAAGTTCTAGTTATAACTGATCGGAAATGTGAATTTAATAGTACTGACAATAGTACTCAGGAGCAAATCTCATTGTGATGTTTTAAACTCATCACAAGAACCAGGATCACTCCAGGAATGTTCTTACTTTAAGATTAGTGTAAATATTTCTTCTCATGTTGTTTCCTTAAAAGCATGTTTAGCACACTGCACCTACAATGCCTGTGAGTTGCATTGTGTTATGTTAAACATGCAATTAGAAGAACCCCATGGAGTGAGAATCTTTAGAGAGATCCTGGCCAGCATGGGAACAACCTCTCTGGATACATTCAGAGGGCTCAGATCTAAGGGACTTACTCCCAAGAAAGTGTGCATTCCTAGAAGGTTATCAATAATTTAGCTCCAACATCTTTAGTGGTAGTATTAATTGCCTTGGTTTATCGTGTCTTTCACTGAAAAATATCTTGATCATACATATATATTTGTGAGGTGCTGTGCTTTTGCATGATTTGCTTCTGCTGAACTTCAGATAAGTATCAAATTAACAGAGATACAGATAAAGCCTGTAAGGTATTTTAAAGCTAATAAGATTAGAATCAGAAATTTGAAAGCTAAGATACTCTAATCAGTGCCTCGTGTAAAACAACCGTGGTAGGCCTTCTGTTTTATAATAATACTTAACATTTGGTATTTGTTGATTTGTAACACCTATCTTAAGACTGCTGGTTTTATTATACAGCTATTAACTGGATTTGAAGGAAAAGCTGTAGTTCGTCATGGATTATTTAATTAATGACAAGTCCCAGACTGCATATCTAATCATGGTTATGGGTTGTCATGTTATGAGGGTTAAAAGAGAATATGGTTTGTGCTTTCTGGGTTCTCATATCATGACAACACCCTAGTAGAGGCTGTATATTCAGAATGATGACCATATACCATATTGTTCGCTCTATAAGATGCATTTTTCCCCCTCAAAAGTAAGGGAAAATGTCTGTGCGTCTTATAGAACAAATGTGTGTGTGCCCAATGCCCAGGACGCTGCCGGCCCCCCTGCACCACGTGGCACCACCTGGCCAGCATGCGCTCAGCACGCGCTGCTCTGCCCCCGCCCCCCGGCACAGGTGAAAGCTGTGCCGCTCAGGGGGAGCAGTGCGGAGGAGGAGGAGCCGTGGGCTTTAACCCGCCGGCCACACGGAGAGACGGACTGCTCACCCCCACCGCCCGGGAAGACCTGCCGCGGAGGAGGAGGAGCCGCGGGCTTTAACCCGCCGGCCGCACGGAGAGACGGACTGCTCAACCCCACCACCCGGAAGACCACTGCTGGCACGCTGCCGGCCCAGCTGCACCACACCTGGCCGGCATGCGCTCTGTGCGCCCTGCTCCGCCCCCCCCTCCTCCGGCGCAGGTGAGAGCTGTTAATCACAGGTCGGTGCGTGTTTTCAAATGGCAACCCATCTTTTAATGAAGCCCATGGGGAAGTGATGAAGAATGTGCCCGTGATTATCAGGAAGCTTTCCATGGATCCCTCCTCTAAACACTAGGTGCGTCTTATGGTCTGGTGTGTCTTATAGAGCGAAAAATACAGTATGTTCCACACATGTAGCAGCTTCACCGTGAGTTAAATAACACATTGTGGGGTGTCATGTCATGCTAAGAGCACCATTCTTTTATTGTGATTTTAGCATTGTAAACCAGTTGGATAAATTGTTCATATCTAGTGGTAAAATATGAAAATGTATTCCTAAATAAAATAAATAAGTTATTTTACATCTAAATAAAAATTCCAGGGATATGGAGGGGGTATCCTAAGTTGGATCAATGTATTGGAAGCATCAACATTCCCAATCCTTTCCTTTTTTAACTTCCTATTATTTCCTTATTTTGCAGTATTAAGTGTTCAGCATGGTATTCCGATCATAATGGGAGCCAATATTGGTACCTCGGTCACAAACACCATTGTGGCACTCATGCAAGCTGGAGACAGGAATGAATTTAGAAGGTACTGCTAATGGTTCAATCAAAGCATTTTTAAAGGTACAACAGCACAGGAAGAACATACCAGAAGAAAAAGGAGAACCAATATTGCAAAAATGGCTCTACAAATCAGCATAGTTATTTATAGTAGTGCCATAAATCACAGCAGGACAGGCTAACACTCACTCACTCAATCTATTATATTTATATTCCACTTTTTTTCCCGTTCAAGGTACTCAAGGTGACTTACATAATTCTCTCCTCCTCTCAATCATATCTTCACAACAACAATCCTGTGAAGTCACTCCTTGGCTGAGTGTAGACTAGAACCAGATCTCCCAAATTCCAAGTCTGCACTCTTCACCACTACCCCGCAATGGCTCTCAATATGTTTTGCTGCCTAAACTTTCTAGAAGTCCATGTATCCAAATAAATGAATAATACAGATATGATATTGTTCTATTCAAGGACCAGTCCCAGACTGTATGCTGATCCATATAATTTTCTTGGCATAGTTACTTTAAGATACAAATTTTCATGCTCCTTTCTATCCTTAATCTTTGATACACTCATGGAGTGACTATTCCTTGGCCTTTGGCAATTGATCTATGGAGTTCCACAGGATATATTGTGAATGTTGTTTAACTTCTACATGAAGTTTCTGGAAGTGATCAACAGAGGATTTGGAACTGTGTTTCTCAGGGACATCTAAATTGTGTGAGGCATTGGAAGTCCTGGATCAATGTTTGAACTCAGTGGCAGACTGGATGGGTCCAATGAGCTGAAGCTGCATTTTGGCAAGATGGAGCCCTTGTGAATGAAGAGTTCCAAATCCAGGAGATAGCCTTATTACCTGTTTGCACCCCCTTTGAAGGACAAGGCCTGTAATCTAGCTCTAACTCTGTTGCTGGAGGCCTGAATGGCCATGGCATGTCAGAGCGCTTTCTACCAGTTTGGGATGCTCTGCGATGTATGGCCTCTCCTGCACAAGGAAGCACCTTTCCTGTATCAGGTGCATGTGACCCATCATAGTTCAGCAACTTTGGGGAAGGACTATATACTATCCAGTGGGCTAATTCTGATGAATTAACCTTACTCAAGCTCAGTTGTTCTGGGTGAACATGACTGCCATACCTCATGTGGAGGAGCATGATACTGATATTTTTCTTCACATTCTTCACCCCAGTGCTGCTTGTTGTTTCAGGTCTGGGAGGATGACACCATAAAAGCATTTTCTGTCTTTAGCACTTTGTGCAGCAACAGAGTTGTATTGTCCTTGTCATAAAATAACTCTGTAATAATTGTGCATGATTATTTTTATCACTGTAGCTGAGAACTGTTAATTCATCAACATTGTGCAGGAGTTTATTGACTTGAAAATATAACCAGTTGTTCCTTTACTGGAAGAACAAAAATGTTCAGGAAATGGTCATTGACATTATTTTAATAGATAAAGGTCTGGGCTTGAGGTTAATGGTATCAAGTGAGTTTAAGAGAATACAGTGTCTTTTGAATATACAGGTTTCTTCTCAAGGCAACTAGCCTGTATAATGCTGTAGTTGTGCTGACTCATTAACAAAGTTCTCTAATAAAAAGGAATATTTTTCTCTCCACTGTTATTCCTAAGGTAACCTGACAAAGAGTGCAACAGTCTGCAATGTCCCACCATTTGATCCTTTCTATTGAAAGAATGCTAATTATCCTTTTACTGAACTTCCTTTGTTACATCATGTGAGATCACCTTGATTTTTTTTGCAGGGCCTTTGCTGGTGCTACTGTCCATGACTTCTTTAACTGGCTTTCAGTGTTTGTGCTGTTGCCTATTGAAGTTGCTACAGGCTATCTTTATCACCTTACAAATGTTATAGTGCAATCATTTCGACTTGAAACTGGGGAGAATGCCCCTGAGCTGCTGAAAGTCATCACTGACCCTTTTACAAAGCTTATTATCCAGGTAGGCTCTTTCCTCAGGTAATATTTGCCAAAGTATCTTTTAATAATCAGATCTGACTTAAACCTTTGATTATTAGAATCAAATACTGGTATAGCTCTTATAATGAAAAAAGCTCTTTGGGTGCAGTCCTGTGCATATTTAGACAGAAAAAAAGATTTACAGTACTTTTTCAATCTAAACATGAATCAATTTGTGCACTTAGTATATTTTTTGTTTACATTTGTTAAGACCTTGTTTTAAGAAACGTTTCACCGAGGATATTCATACAACTGACTCTCAAATGGTGGTAGCTTAACCCAGGGCTATGAAGTTGTACGTGTTGAAATAATCTGTAGATTTGTTTAGATTCCGGTTGTTGAATATAAAAGATATGACATCCTCACAGCATTCTGAGAATAATAGATCAGAGTTATGAAGTTGGAGGGAACCTTGAAAGCCATCTAGTCCAACTTCTGTTCAGTGCAGAAGATCCAGAGCTTGAACGTGCCCAGCAGATGACTTTCAAGCCCGTGTCTAAAGACTTTCAGGCAAAGAAAGACCACACCCACTCTAAGTACCAAGTCCCATAGTTGAACTTCTACTATTAAGAGGTTTCTCTTGATGTTCAACTATTCTGTAACTTAAGCCCATTAGATCTAGTCCTTCCTTCTGAAACAGTAGAAGACATGCTTTTCCCCTCTTCAGTGTGGCAGCCCTTCAGAAGTGTGCTGTCATGCATGTTTCCACAAAGCAACCTTTCTTCCTGCCTAAATATACTTCAGTCTTCAACTGTTCCTCACAGAACTTGTTTTTCATACCCTTTGACCATCTTTGTTAGCCTCCTCTGAGTATGGTGATGGATACGTCTGTGATGGGACGGTATACCAAAGTTTTAAATAATTAAATAAATAAAATATAGAAAACAAATCCTAGGAGAAAATATTGAAAGGATTGCATGCTGCTATAATGTTTATTTGGTTAATTTTTATCCGAAGCCACGATCATTTTTCCAACCTGGCGCTAAAATTCTGTTGCCTGATATGTTTTCTGCTGTCATCTCAGGAAGGAGCCGGATTAATGTGTGGAGGTACATTACAGAGAGGCCCCATATATTGTAGTGACACAGTGCCTGTTAAGTGCAGGGCATGGTGTGTGCTCTGCACACAGCAACATCTGTTTCTCATAAGATAAACTCCCAGTAGATCCCCTCTCATTGGCATCTGGGTTGTCTTGTGTCACAAGTACACTGCAGTGCCTTATCTTATTATTTACCACAGGGATCGATGGCAACCACTCATAGGATGGACATGGTTAGGGTGAGGATCTAAATTAGTTCTCTGTCATACTGGCAGTACCAGTTTCAGGGGTGAGGCTCCTTTTTCTGTCAGACTTGATTTTTTGCAACTTTATTCAAAAGAAGGAATAGAAACTATTGGCCAGGATCACACAATCACTGGGGGGAAAGAAGCCGGTGTGGGGTGTGTATGTGTGTGTGTGTGTTTTTGCCAGTGATCTCCTAGACACAGTCATTTGGAAGTTAGAACTGAGCCTGTTCCCATTTGTCTAGCTCGCAATTTGGGAACTGGAGTTATGAAGGCTACTAAATCTACTGTGTAGTAAAGTGGAGATTATTGGCAGACAGGCTACAAGTAGAGTATGTCTGGCATAATCAGACATATATTTTCCCAATAATGCACTTTAAAAAAGATTATTAATATATTGCTGTTTCCAAAATAATATGCTGTAGTTTGTACTTTATTTTGTCTGAATTTTATACATACATACACACACACACACACACACATATATAATGCAAGGTAGAATAGAAATAACCTATCCTATCCTATGTATTCTTATATGATAAAATAATGAGTCCTCTTTCTGTTTGTTTTCTTTGGTCATTAGCTTGATAAATCAGTGATAAATCAAATTGCAACAGGAGATGAATCAGCAAAAAACAAAAGCCTTGTGAAAATCTGGTGCAAAACTAAAACAACCTTGGTAAGTATTGTATGAATATGTCATTTAATACAGATAAGATATTCTTAAATTGATTCATGTAGATTATTTACTTGATAAGGGAGATAATGATAATTAGCTTCATTAATAGACTGTTGTTTATTATGATGGTGGGGAAAGAGGCAGGGAGTGGGCCCATAATTTGAAAATGTCATAAGTTTCACTATTGTGATAGATTATTTGTAGTGCTTTCAAATTGTTGAAGAACTTGCATATCATAAATAGTCAGAATAATATTGATTAATTGGCGTTCTTTTCACTTCTTTGTCAATGCTTAGAGTACACTGAATACCACCATCCCACTGTCTGAAAATTGCACATCTCCAGACCTTTGCTGGACTGATGGAAACTTGATCTGGACCATCAAAAATGTATCCACAACAGAATACATTAAAAAATGTAAGGAAAATGCCACTTCTGGTGCTTTGAAGGTTTTATAATGCAGAACTTCCTTTTTTTTTTGGTACAACAGCATGATGCCTCATTAGAAAACAATAGTAAAACAAAGGTTGGGAATTTCAGTGTGTACATATTGTTCTCCATCATTTGAAAGAAATGTATTCTATGATTATTTCCATGTCCAACTATTCATATAAATATAGATAATCTGAAATGAATAGACTATAGCTCCTTACTTTCTGTCACCATCACCTTTGCTGAGGGATCTTTCAGAGATGAATGGGCTGCCACAGTGCTACACCACAATTAATTGTGGTGCTCTGCTGGCCAGTAACAAATAAGGGTCAGGCAGACTATGAAATCACATCCTGTTTTGGGGAATGTGAACACATCCTTCACAACACATCTAATTATCAGGCAAAATGCAACAACACTGCAATCTTTTAGATTATAGTGCACTTCAAATTTAGCCATGAATTTGCTTCCAAATAGCTATTCCCTGGTGTTAGCATCTAAAACATGGGTGTTGAACTTCTTCCAGTCTGAGAATCCTGTTTTCTCTTAACTCCCTTGCTCATGATCCTCTTTTGCTGCTCCTGGATGCTTTTTTATCTCCCAATCTGCAATAGTACATTGGGAAGGGAAAGCTATGGTGGCAGTACAAGTGGTGGCAGCAACAGCAGTACAGAGGGAAAAGGCAGCACTTGCCAGAGATGGGGAAAGAGAGCAGCAGCAGCAGCAGAGAGAAAGAAAAGGCTGGGTTGTGGGGATTTGCTCACATCAGCAGGGTAGGGCAGGAAAGGCCATGGCAGCAGGTGGGATGGGATAGGAAGCACCCGCAGGTGTGGTGGCAACACAGGAAGAAGGAAGGAAGGGCCACCATGACACACACACAGCTGCACTGCCATCAGTGAAGAAGAGAGGAGTGGCCATGAGGGCTGTGCTGGAAGGAGAGGCAAGAACATGATGCAAGGATCTGGGAGGCTTGCTTGGAGGTGTCGGGGTCTGCCAGCATGTTTGAGGCTGCAAAGTTGCCAATCCATGATTTAACATGAGGAGAGGAAAAGCACACACAAAAACTAGGAAGCCCTGAAAATTTGGCAGACAAGAGGGTGCAGGTCCAAGAAAAAGAGGCATGGTGCTCTTGCCCCACTGGCAGGCCATACTGTGGGATCCCAGGCATGCCAGATTTGACTTGAGGACCTGTCAGCACAGGACAAATCTAAAATGTTTATATTGTATGTGTTTTCCAAATTCATGCATGCCAAGATTGAGCAGTCCAGGAAAATGGAACACTGGTGTAATTAGGATAGATAACTGTAGTAAGAAGGCTGGGCACCAAAGGATTGAGGCCTTTGAATTGTGGTGCTGGAGGAGACTCCTGCGAGTCCCTTGGACTGCAAGGCGATCAAACTGGTCAGTCCTAGAGGAGATCAACCCTGACTGCTCTTTAGAAGGCCAGACACTGAAGATGAAACTCAAATACTTTGGCCACCTAAGGAGAAGGAAGGACTCACTGGAGAAGACCCTAATGCTGGGAACAATAGATGGCAAAAGAAGAAGGGGATGGCAGAGGATGAGGTGGCTAGATGGAGTCACTGAAGCAGTCGGTGTGAGCTTAAGTGGCCTCCAGGGGATGGTGAAGGACAGGAAGGCCTGAAGGAATGTTGTCCATGGGGTCGCAATGGGTCAGACACAACTTCGCGACTAACAACAACCTGTAGTAAGAAATGTTTTGATACGCTAACTCCTATGTAGAGCACCACATCATGGGTAAGAGCCATTTTGGTGGCTCTTAAATAAGGGAGCTAATATTTGAAGGTTTATCCCAGAGTACAGTAGGCAGGAAGCAAGCAAGCACAGTCTTTTCTCATCAGAATAGGAAACATGTATAAAGAACTCTCAAAACAGCAAAACATTTTTGAAAAACTAATTAACTTAATTTCCTACCCTTGTATAGGTCAGCACATTTTTGTTGAATCAAGTCTTCCAGATCTTGCCATTGGTCTCATCCTGCTTGCATTGTCTTTGATTGTTCTGTGCACCTGCTTGATACTTATAGTTAAGTTGCTGAATTCAGTACTTAAAGGACAAGTAGCCAGTGTTATCAAGAAGACAATCAACACCGGTAATGATCTCTTATGGGGATTTTGTTTTAGAAACATAGCAAATAGAACATTGACTACTATTATATACAATCTACCACAAGAATTTCTAGTACAAACTCCTGTGAAATAAATGAGAGGTACACCCAATTAGATTGTGCTTCTTTTCCACACCTGTTGTCAATGAAAAGAAGAAAAAACTGTGCTAGACTGCTTACAGGGGAGACAGTGAGAAACCCTAGAAATATCGTCTCCCTCCTTTATGTAGATTATTAATCTGACAAGGGGGATAATGATGATTAGCTTCATTAATACACTGCTGTTTATTATGAGGGGTGGGGAAAAGAGGTAGGGAGAGGGACCGTATTTTGCAAATTGCATAATTTTTACTATTGTGATAGATTATTTATTGTAATGCTTTCAAATTACAGACGAACTTAAATATTATAAGTGATCAGGATAGTACTGATTTCATTGGCCTTCTTTTCACTTCTTTGTCAATGCTTAGAGTACGCTGAATACCACCATCCCACCATCTGAAAATTGCACATCTCCAGACCTTTGCTGGGCTGATGGAAAGACAGAAGGCATAGTGGCTACTACCTTACTTAGTAGCCTAATCTTTAAGCTAGTAGCCTAGCTTTTAAACTCTGAAAGCTAAATGCAAACTATGATAGTTACATAGTTCATTTAGTGGGAAAAGTCATCAACTGCACTTTGAACGTTCCAAATACAAAAGTTATCTATGTGGGGAAATGTCCCTAAATGACATACCTGAAGGCTAATTACCTTTAGCTTATATTACCTTTAGCTTTAGCTTATATTACCTTAATTACCTTTAAGACTCAGTAATTTTCAAGTTGTCTTGAATGGTTTGAAGGTATTTGTTGGTACTGCTATTACCATTGCTTACTATATAAACACTCTTAGGACTTCTCTACATGAGGTGTTTAATCTGCTGTTTTACTGAGGCAGCTCCTTCTGTTTTTGCTGTTGAAGGAAAACTGAGTCCTTCACCCAGGGTTTGTTTTTCTTTGCCTTTTAATATGTTTGAGTAACTACCACAAGTTGGTGCTGTGCTATAGCAGATTTGCAATTTCTTGTGGGACTTTTGTCTGGTATGTTGCAGTATAAAAATTAAACTAATTAAAATTTAAGACTTTCCTCATTCTAAAACACCCAATGAAAAGACTGGAAAACACAGGAGAGACTCTAGAAGAGGTAGATGTGAAATAAACATTTATTTATTTATATATTTGAATTTTTATCCCACCTCATTAGCCAAAATGCTCTTTGGGCAGGTTACAAAGTTAAGAAAGATACAATACAATAAAATTTAAAATAACATAACAATAAAATCTGACCATCCAACAAGTAAAAACCACACCATTGCAAAATTTCACAGACTCTTAGATTATCCAAGAACAACATAAAGGCCGGATAGTGGTTTATAACCGCTGTGAGTGAGGGATTGCAAAAGCACAATAAATGCCTCATGTACAGAAACCCTTAACAACAGCAGCAGCAAGTTCTGCACACTATTGAGAAGAGAATTTTCTGCCTGCCCTTAATGAAGCTCTTGCTTCTCTTTTCTAGATTTCCCTTTTCCATTTTCGTGGCTGACAGGATACTTGGCTATGCTAGTGGGAGCTGGCATGACATTCATTGTTCAAAGCAGTTCAGTATTCACATCTGCTATTACTCCACTTGTTGGTAAGTGTTACATGGAAGTATTCCAAGCTATTTGTTTTTTGTATTTGCTTTTTGGCTGGGAGGATATTTGTTTGGCTTTCTTCTGCAGGGTTTCAGTGGGAGAAGAATAATTTTAGTTTGTATATCATGATGTATTTAATGTTGCAGTGTCTCCAACAAAACAAACAAAAGTAAAAATTGTCTTTTATGACCAAGAGTAGAATAGAAATAGAAAAACCCGCCTCTTCCCCACTGCCACACTAATGATTTGTTGAGCCAGTCTGCATGATCACCATGATTTTAACATGGCTTATTTAAGCCATGATACATTCAGGGTGCCATTTCATACTCACCTACACAGGTGCAGGTTGTTATATTGTATGAACCCAGGTGACATGGTTTGTTGGAAGAGGAAACAATGCTCAAATAACACAAATGTCTCCCTCCAACAAGCCTTGCTGTCCTGGTGTGGACAACACAAGAAGCTGCAGCCAGGTGGGTGATTTATCAACTGGTGCCCAGTGACTTAAACCAGGATGGTTTGTTCAAGCCATGCTGACTATAAAAACAGGCATTGATTTCAACCAATAGTCCATTGTCACATGGGTTACGTATCCAGTCCTGAGGCTTCTAAACAATTGATTCTACATGCTTTACTGTAGAATCATACCACACAAATATTGGATAACGGTACAGGACTGATTTTATATAGCTGTGAGCTTGCTAAGTGGCCTTACAGAAACCACTGTATTTTAGCCTGTTATAATGTGTGATAATGAATGTGAAGGCCTTTGAACACTATATTGCTATATGTATGATAATATGTAATTAATCCTTGTTTCTTCTTATTAGGAATTGGTGTGATAAGCATTGAACGGGCATACCCCTTAACACTGGGATCCAACATTGGTACAACCACAACAGCTATTCTTGCTGCTTTAGCTAGTCCAGGAAGTAGATTAAAATATTCCTTACAGGTTAGCACCAATTTCTGCTTTTTATTAGCTGTTAAAATACAGTCTTGATAGAAAAATCTGCTCCTTATATGCATTTTACTTGAACTAGGACTGTAAGTTTCACTGGTGGAATGCCTGAGAGGATGTTTAAGCCTCTTCCTTCCAACTGTTCTCTTGCTCAAAATGGCTCCTCCAAACTGCAAAATCATATTTCATGCTGAGATGTCCAATTCATTGCAGAGCACTGGTCGTTAAAAGATTATTAAGCAGATATACTCTGTGAGTCATCTTGATGATATCTGGACAAACTGGCTTTAAGGCCCTATCCTGGCCCACCCGAAGGGCTCCCCACCTCCACCTAACCCTGAGAAATGAAGATAGTTGTGAAGATTCTCTGCTGAGCATGGTGCTGCATGCTACAGTGGCCACTGCACCCATGCTATCTAAAGCGTGCTCCTACTTTGGAGCACAGAGATGCCAAATTAAGCAGCTCCTGCAGTGGCATCCATCTTCTTTATTACCGCAGAATACCTGTGGCTCCAGTACAGTAGCTGCATTCTTTTCAGGAAAAAATGGTTTTGTTTTGTTTTTTAAGATGACTTCATCAGCCCTAATGGCCTTCTGGAATTTGTTATTCCAGATGTAAAAGCAAACTTAAACAAGAAATAAGAGCACCAGAGTATACAAGGGAAGGAAGGAAGGGTGGTGATGAGGGAGCATGTAAACCCAAGGCTAGCACAGTATTTAATGTTATGTGTGAGCTAACCCCTCTGACCTAGTTCAGACATTAAGAGTATGCTGCTTTTCATCTGTTTACAATGCCACTTTGTATCTGTTTTCCAAAAACATAGGAACACCATATTCTAGGGTTATTAGTTGTCATATCCAAACCTGGCACATTGTGAAGGACTGAGTAATCCAGAGGTTCAACCAAAGAACAAACCATGGATGTAAACCTCAATAATCCAGACATGCTAGGTTCAGACATCATCAGACTTACAATGCAGGAATGTTCTTGGTTTGTTCTAGGAAGCAGATACGAAGTTGTAACAAGGGAGGCAGCACATTGACTGATCACCAGTACGTTTTGTGCCATCATGCAAATAACAGCTTGGAGGACATCTTTAGTCAGAAAAACAGTGCAGGGGAAGAGGGATAAATCCTTTTACCTTAAGACCATATTCCTGATCTAAATTCTTTCTTCCATCTGTCTACTTTTAATTTCCATTGTTTAAATTTCCCATTGACCATGCAATAATTGAAAATTTAGCCGTCCAGAGACATTAGTAATTGAACGGCATACAAATTTTATAAATAAATAAATAAATAAATTTAACAGTTTATACTTTAACAGTTTTTAACAGTTAAACTTTTTAATGATTTTGCATGATTTTTATCCATCCTGAATATATGTTTTGAAATGAAAATCTTCATGTGATCTCATAAGACTTGTGTGCTCGTTGTATGAGTTTTGTTGTGACCTCTAGTTATAAGCATAGACATATACAGTGCTGAACTGCAGATTTGCTCTTAAAGTTCTTATTAGTTTCTTCTTAATTTCAGCAGAAAAAACTGTAAGTGAATGTTTTTGGTATGTGCTGTTTGTAACTCATTGATGGAATGAAGACTAAAAAGCATTAACATCTGAAACCATGCACAATTATGCATAAGTCAGGCAGAATTTGAAAAGTATGCTACCATTTTCCTTTTCCTTTGCTGTGTTTGTTTTCAGATTGCTCTGTGCCACTTCTTCTTCAATATATCTGGGATTATCCTCTGGTACCCGATTCCTTTCATGCGGCTCCCAATTCGCTTGTCCAAGAGCTTGGGGAACATCACTGCCAAGTACAGATGGTTTGCCATTTTTTACCTTCTAGTTTGCTTCTTCCTGGTCCCTTTGGCTGTCTTTGGCTTGTCAGTGGCTGGCTGGCAGTACCTGGTGGGCATTGCTGTTCCCATCTTGGCTGTCTTGCTTGCTGTGCTCATCATCAACGTTCTGCAAAGGAAACGGCCACATCTTCTGCCTGAGAAGCTCAGAAACTGGGACTTCCTCCCCAGATGGATGCACTCCTTGCAGCCCTGGGATAGCGTTGTTATTGCTGCATACTCTGGCTGTGGAAAATACTGTTGCTGCTGTTGCAAATGTTGTAAGGGAAGGGAAGCTGGAGAATTAACAAAAGTATTGCCAGCTAAAACCATGGAAGTTCATGACAACCCAGTGTCACTGGCTGATGAAGAAAATGTTATTTCAAAAGCACAGCAGGAAATTCAAACAAACCAAACAGACCTGACTACCACAGCCTTGTAGCAAACAGTTGGACTTAAGGAGCTGAAGCCTCAAGGACAAAAACTTGAAGGGAAAATGTGAAGGGAACAGGAAAAAGCAGAGGGAAAATGTGTGCTTGCTTTTTGCACCCCTTGAAAAGAATGCCCTGGTGGTGGCTGACTGTTTTGGCAAGCAGGCAACAAGTCAAGCTGTTCAATGCACCTTAAGAATATATGCAGTCCCAAGTGCCTTGTGTGGTCGTCCCACTGATCTGCTAAACCAGGAAGCAGGCAGTAGTATAATGGTGCAGCACAGGTCTGACTCGGTGCCATAATCAGGACTGTTTATCTCTCTGCGTCTGTTCTGTCTGCAATTACCTCTGCCGTTTGTGATCACCCAGCTCATGTATTACTCCAAATTTCTCAACGTGGACCCCAAAGTGAGCAACTTAGCAACCTAAAGGATGATTGACATGATCAGCAGAGTCAAGCTTGTCAGAACTTTGAAATTGCAGTCTCCTTCTTCAATCCAGTGATAGATAAGGCACATTTCATTGGTACAAAATCTAAAAAGTAACTTAAGGTTATACTTTTCTGTAGAAAGTCTTAAACTTACCTAATTTTTATAATGCCAAGAATTTTTGGGGGTGTGGGAAGGAATTTGTGTGTGTGTGTGTGTATTAGCATTGTACTTCCTGTCATTCCTGCATATATTAGCATTGTACTTCCTGTCATTTGTGTCTTTTAGCTAGAAGCCATAATGTAAATATTCACTTTCTAGAGCACTTGTCTTTTCCAGTCCTAATTTGTAAGTGGGAGGAGTTTAGCAAACAGTTTCAGGGTCTTGCCATTATAGGCCTAGCTTTCTGCAAACAATATATTGTGTGGGTAGCATTGTCTAAACTAGCCTCCTCCAATCTGCTCCATTCCACATGGGTTATACAACAACCCCATCATTCCCAACCAGCACGGCCATTTGGAAAGTACCAGGTTTGGGGTGGGGGTGGGGAGTACTCTAGGTTTTAAGCTCTGGGAATGTACCAGTATAGTAATTTGAAAACTCACATCTACACAATTCAGTCAAAGCTGAAGGAATCTAAGTCCTGTTATTTCCAATGGGATATACCTGAATAATCCCTTCATAGAATTAGCAGGACCTGAAAGTGCTCAGCTATGGCTGGATGATGCCTCATTTTTTAAAACATGTGAAAAAGAACATTATCTTGAGTAACTAATGCATAGTGGGAGATGAAATGCTAGCTAGCTAAAAATGTAAGTTAGCAAAACTTAAGCACTTTTAAGTCCCATTATTTACAATGTGGGAGTAAAATGCTTGAATCCTTTCCACTGAAATCAATGATATTTAAAAGTGCTTAAATGGTTAAAATCTCAATTATATGCATCCTCTTTTTCTTCACTGGAGTTTACAATTTCAAAAATCATACAATGCAATTCTATGGATGTTTACTCAGGAGTCACTCCCACTGTGTTTAATGGAGCTTAATCATGGGTACATTTTAATTGAAAATCAGTATTTAAAATGCTTTTAATAAGTAAAGTTTGTAGGCTTTGTCCAATTTGACAGTCTTACAAGCTATGTTGATTGCACAATCCTTCTAAATACAAATGGGTCTATATCCCATTATTATACTAATTCTTGTATTTGGATAGTACAGTATGAATTTTTATATAGCTAAACATTTGTTTATTTTATATATAGATAAAAATGCTATGATTTTAACAGCAGTTTATTCCTGTCACACAAAGCACTTTTAATCCCATTTATTTCAATGGGAAAGTTATGCATATGCTTAAATCTTTCCCATTGAATTTGATGGGGCTTATTTCTATCATGCCTAAATCCTGTTTTGTGATGTTTTGTTTGTCTTGTTCTTGACTTCATAGAATCGTTATTAGTTTATTGAATGTATTTGTCAAATATTATGTTAACAGACTTGTTCGTTGAATAATTGTGAGAGAATTAAGCAAAACCATTTGCTGTCAGCTTCTCTCATAACTGGTTGAATTAATAATATTATTTTATCTTTATCTACCTCCTTTTCTTCTCTGCTATATCAGTCTTTATTGCAAAGATGAGGCAACAGATGTTATTGGATTCCAGCTCTTAGGCCAAAGTCAATATGCCCAGTAGTCAAGGATGATGGTGCTTGTAGTCCAAAAAGGAAGGACTGTAGATTTAGAGGACTTATCTGTAAAACCTTGTGAAAGAATGGGTTTCTCTATCCTTGTATTTACTCTTTAGGAAAGTAAATCTTTCTTTGAGATTAAGAATTAGGCAAGGGCTACAGCTAAAATACAGAGTAGAGTAGACAAAGTTATGATTACATAGGAAAAATAATGACAATATGTTTACACATAATTTTAATGTTTTATTTTCCTCCCTACTGTAAGGGTTCTGTATTATTCTGCTCAGAACTTCATTTGATAGCTTAATGAGAACCCTGATCAGTACATTGTTCTGTGTGTATTTGGGGCCAGTTTAGACAAGTGGTAGAATTAAGCAATAATGGTTTTACTGGGCTAGAACATTTCAAATAGCCTGGGGGATTGTAAGTGAGGTTCGCCTTATGAAAAGGTATATCTCTACAGACTGGGAAATAACATGCAACAGAGAAGTAGTCTAGGACTGCTAAGGTGGCCCCTATTACCACTGAACCTCCAAACTGACTCCTATGCTAGAAGTGAGCCCAGCAGGCGGGAAAGCCATCTGAGTCAGAGTGAGGCTGTCAGAAAATAAACGGTGAGTAGTGAAGAGGGTTCAGATGCACCCTTGTTTTTCACCCTACAGAGGACTTCCCTCCTCCTTTATCCATGGTGGTTACTACAGATCCAGGTTCGGACAAAGAAATTGGCTGTTGCTGTCCCTACCTGCCCCCTGAATTGCCGTTTCTACATGTTGGTGCGTGCAGACATTAAACCTGAAGCAGCACAATTCACATACCATGTGATCATGGTGTTTTATACATGGGCTCCAATTCAGTTGCTAGCAAGACAAATGGCTTGATTTATTTAAAACAGCTGCAACAACTGGGGAATAGAATGGGGGCATTTCTCTACGTTAAGCCAAAAATGGTCTATGCCCATGTTATTACTATCATCTCAGTCCTGGAGCCCTGCACATGGAAAAAGGCTTCGAGATGCCTCCTCTGCTGGAACCATGTTGTGCCAATGGGAGTGTGAGTGTGTGTGAGTGAGTGAGTGTGTGTGTGAGAGAGAGAGAGAGAACAAGCAAGCAAGGACTTTCTGGCACTGAATGAATAGAGCCTATTCAAAATTTAAATTTCCACAGATTAGGGAGGGGGGAGGCATGAACCAATCTCCCACATTTTGGGGAAAAAAACCTGTCAAAAAAAAATTCAACCTGTCAAAGTGCAGCCCCGGTTCCTAAAGATTAGGGTCCCTTCTCCAGACCTATCTGGGCATTCATGTGATTACAATCACATGAGGGGGAGAACAGGGTAATGCTTACTGGCCCACCCTGCACCATCTCACTGGGCCAGCTGTGCCACTAGCTCTGATGTAGAAGCTGGGTTGTGTGCTGGAATTGCCACTTTCTTCAGTCCTGAGTGCTGCACAATTATATTGTCCTTGTCTTATGGTAAATGAGAAGATTTTTCTTTCTGACAAAATCTGGGTGCGCTCCAGAGTCTCATATGGAAACTTTGCATCATGGCATATTTTCACTTTCAGCTTTTTATGCTATTTATAATGGGTTTTACCCTAAGGTTGTTGTTTTTTTATGTCTGAAAGGAATAGTTTATGTGATTTGGTTTTTGTATTGCACATTCCAATACATTGCACTGTTCATTAAGCAACATTAAAATTAAGAAAGTGCATTTTGTAAAACAGCTTTTTAAATTGTGTTTGTATATTTTACATAAAGTGTTAGTGACAATGTCATTTAGTTTTTAATGAGATTTGCTGAAAAAACAGTCATGTTCTTAAAAGAAAGATGAAACTATGTAAAAATTAGAATATTAAACTATTTTTAAACTACTCTTCAGTTTTTGCTGAGAACTAAAACTTTTGTGTGTGTAGCAAGATTTTTGCATGAACTGAGGAGAAAACTGTATGAACAGCAGTGAAAATGATCCAATTTTGTAATCTGACATTACTAGAAAAGAAGCTAAAGACACTGGATGCAAAATTAAAGATTTTTTACAACAGTATTATGTGTTAAAATGTTTTACATGTTTACCAAGAGCACTGGTTACACTTGTGTGTTTTGAAATAGTTGGAACTCCCATGTGTGCGTATGTGTGCACACATTACATTTCTGCTATTCAGATATTCCCCACTGCATGGTCAGCAAAGTTTCCATGCTGAGAGTGCACTGGATAGAAACACCAGATGTCTGATCTGCTTATCTGACAAGCATAAAGCAGAATATTCCAGAGGCTTTATGTTTGTCAGATTTGGCCCCAGTCACTGCCGGCAAGTTAAAGGCCGCGCAGCAGCTCTCACCCATGCCGGAGGAGGGGGGCAGGAGCAGGGCCCACGGAGCACTCGGCAGCTGGATGGTGGGCCTGTAGGCCGGCAGCGTCCCAGCTCCTGGTCCTGTGATGGCGCCGTCCATCCCGCAGGGCAGCGGTGTCCTCAGCGGGCGTCGGGGCGCCGGTCAGCTGCGGCGGAGGCAGGTCTTACAGCGGTGGTGGTGGGCCGTCTGGCCTATACTACTATTCCAAGGATATTTCTGCATTGGACCTTTTCTCTGGAATTGCCAGTTTACAGTTTAAAATACACCAAGGGTGGTCAGACTTGCTCAGCTTGCAAGTGGCAAGCAGGCGCCAGTGGGCTGGGATGGCAAGTGGGTGCCCGTATCAGTAAGCAGCATGCTGCAAAATAAATTCGAAGAGCCGCATGTGGCTCCTGAGCCTTAGATTGGCCACCCCTGGCACGTACTGTATCTAGTGACATCTGTCACAGCATGATAGGTTTAGAAACCATCTTTGGGCCACCAAGAAAGTTTCCAGTAGTTGAAAATGCATTATTGCATTCATAAGGACTCAGAAAATTAACTTC